AAACCTGGGAGTACTGGACAGCTGTTTCGTCCTAGTTTGGGACTCTTCAGCAGTACGCACCCACTGCAGGGTTCAAACCCACGACCTTCTGGTTACAAGGCGAGCTCGTAGACCATTTAGCCACTGGGACCCGATCCAATGGCCAGTGCATGAATTCTAACTTCTGCCAATTCACGACATAGCGTGACCCCTAGCCAATGTCTTCGGCGAGTATTTGTTCCCACACCCGACCTGCTACACCTTACTGGTCACGACTTTTCACTAGAACCCCAGGTAACTACCTACCTGAATAGGGCAAGTCGCTAGTGAGCATCTCATTGATATTCAAGTGTTGGTTTGTATGGATTTGATTGGTTTCAGGATTACATCATGATCTGACATTAGTTAGAGAACCATTGGAAAACCTGGGAGTACTGGACAGCTGTTTCGTCCTAGTTTGGGACTCTTCATCAGTACGCACCCACCGGGATTCCACTTACTCATATCAATCGGTAGTATATACCATCTCATCATGCTACAGAGATTTTCCTGTGATGTCATTATAGCGACACAATTCAATAAACATCACTGAGTTAAGTCTCTATTATCTCTGTGAACCATTTCTTCTAAGTAGGAATGCATTCCTATGTAGCAATATGCAAATAAATCATATTATTGAACAATACTATTTGCGCATGACCTTATTTTATGATATTTTTCTTTTGTTCCGTCTTCCCTTAATCGATAGTTTATGTTTTCCCTTAATATATTGAACAATTTCATTTTATGTGGTAATCTGTTAAAGGTTTTGCAAAACATTTTTCCCTAAGGTCATGAACTTCGTGTTAATGAAATTATGTAGACTGTTGTTAATCAATAGATTATTCCTAAATCCTTAATCAAAAATTTCATATCAACACATCTCTTCCTACATTAAATACGTGACTTAATTGATGAGTTGGTTTTTTCTGAAGAGTGAAATCAGACTTCCGGAAGTCGCCTGATTTAAGAAGGCAAAGTCAGCATAAACATTAGTCATCCTTATTTATTTATTATTTAGCATGCCTTAATCTAGCCAAATAGATAAATAGCTAAATTAATATTATTATTATTACAAGTGAATTTTATGATGCGTTGATAGTTTCATGCATGGTCTTGTTCGATTTCCAGCTGACGTACCTCTACACCCCGCCTAGTCTACTAAACGACAGTAATCCAAATGATGAATAGTGGAAGGTTGGATGTGAGGCCAGTAAACCTTCCACTACTACTCAAAAACTTCACAACTCAAACTTATGGCCTTAAGTAGCAGTCAAAAGGCATTGAATAAAAACAGAAACTATCCACTAGAAATCTTCTAAAGATTCATCAGGAACTCAACATGGAACTCGACGGAGTAATGCAAAATAATAAAAAAATAAGATAAATTAAAGGAGCAAGAACAATAACAGACAACGATCAGCATAAATGGAAGGAACCTGAAAGAAACAACCTCCTTTACATACCTACCTGGGAAGCATCGTTTCAACCACAGGCAAACGGAACTGACGAGGATATCAAAGCAAGAATCGGAAATGCAAGACAAGCTTTCACTACTCTCAAGTCTGTGTGGAGGTCAACAGCACTCAGCATCGAAAATAAGATCCGGATTTTCAACTCCAATGTGAAGTCAGTGCCACTTACTATACGGATCAGAGACTTGGCGCGTCATAAAGAGCATCTCAAACAAACTACAAACCTTCATTAACAGTTGTCTTCGCTCAATACTCAAGATCAGATAGCCGGCCAGAAAAGAACAGCAACAGAGATCTCTGGCAATGAGCGAACCAACCATGAACCGATTGCGAAACAAATAGGCAGGAAGAAACGGAGATGGATTGGCCATACTATGAGGAAGTCATCAAGTGGCATCATTAGACAAGCCATTGCTCGAGTGGAACCCGAAAGGGAAGCGGTGAGTTGGTCGTCACTGCAAGGGTGACTTGGAGGAGGTCATGTGAAGAGGAGATGAAAACGTGTGGGCAGAGTTGGAGCCAAGTGAAGGCTCTAGCAGAGAACCGAACGCAATGGAGACGCACGGCTGAAGCCCAATGTTCCTCTAAGAATTAAAGGAAACAATAATAATAATAGTATTAAAGCCCAACAGTTTCATAATATAAAGAAGGTACGCCAGAGGCTCTGCAGAGGACTCTTATTAAGGATAGAATTAGGATGGTACTTAAACTGATGGACTCACTCAAAGATAGACTGTCTAATCAGATCGTCGGTTACAACTAGGAACAGTTAAAATATAGTCACCATTAAAATATCCTTTCAAATCACAGTTTTAGTGTAATGGTAGAATAAATTGTTCTGAGTCATTTCTAATGAGCACTACTCGTCTGAGTGTGTGTCACAATGCTGATAACTTGGTCACCGTTGAATAACACTCACTGCTCGTCGAGAAAACTGAAAGGCTAGCATGACATAAAGGTGTTCTAGTTATCTTAATAGATGGCCCTGCAAAGCAACATTATTGAAATAATATTAAATTCCATTTGTTAAGCTAAATCTTTTTTAAGTATCTTGGCCATTTATATTCTATTTTTAAGCGTTTCAATATGCAACTTATAACTAATATATATTGTATAGCCTGTTTTCCTTACTATTTTTATCAGTTTTAATTAGCAAATTCTTTGCTCCATTCAACAGCTACTGTATTATTTCTTCAGATATATGTGCTTCTAGTGGCACTGGCAGCTGTTTATTAGCTCCACTAATGGTTTTCCTAAGAAAAAACTTCGGAGAACGCTTTTCTTCACTGAGTTCCAGGCGAAAATTGGTTACTCAGAATTATGTTTGATGGGTTGGAGGATTTCGTTACGAGCTGACATCAGTTAGAGAACCATTGGAAAACCAGCTGGGAGTACTGGACAGCTGTTTCGTCCTAGTTTGGGAATCTTCAGAAGTACGCATCCCCCCTCTGCGTGGTTCGAACCCAGGACCTTCTGGTTACAGATGAAGATTCCCAAACTGGGAAGAAACAGCTGTCCAGTACTCTCACTAGTCGTTTATACAGGAAATGCTTAAAAATAAATATGAATAGTGGAATTAACGATTTTATTCACATTAAGGCTAACTACTACTACTACTACTATGATTGACTGACTTTCATGCATTCAATTCTATGGGAGGAAATCATTAAAGCGTTAATTCTCTTTAGCTCTAAGGTCACATTTATTAGAAGATTTTTGAGAATACTAAATAAAATCTTTACTACTCATAAATAAGAAGAGATCACATTATCACTATTAATTATTATCGATCACGTATGATTTACAATGCTAGTTCAATTATTTGTGTGTCTGCAGTTCATTGGTAGAATGCTTGTCAGGCACACCAGAGGTCTAGACGCGATTCCGGGACTCGTGAACCTCGTCAAAAAAAGAGAGAGAAGATTTGGCGTGAGTCTAACAGCTCTATCCAGTTACAAACAACACTTCTACTACTGAAATTTCGAAACTCAGAGCTTGAGGCCATATGTTCCATTCGGAAAGCAAGAAATAAAAAGAAATAGATTGGTTTACCCTCACCATATTCATGTTTGGTGGGCATTTTACTACCAATGAACCACCCACGCATATACCATTAGTGCTACTTGATTGAAAAACCTAAGAGATAACTGCTTGGTGCCAGTTACATAAGTCCATTTTGAAGTGGTTTTGGTAGTAATGTCCGTCTGACGATTTTACCGCCTCTTTTAAGAATGAAAACAGATTCTCAAATGCGTAGCGTTCTACAGGGGGAGATGATTGTGGAAACTACTTATGAATCCACCCAGTTTAAAGTTTTTCAAGTGACTTCTTAGCCCTAAGTTTTATACTACTCGGTGAGAACATTGGGAGAAAGAGCTGACATTTCAAAACTATACCTTATCCTTGAATAGCTGGGAACAGGAGGAGTTTACTGAAGAAAACAAACAAGTCTGTGAAACTGGCCATCTTAGACAAAACAGTTTAAACTGTTCATAGTCAGTCGTAATGTGGCGAATCAGACTTGTCAATTTACAGACACTTAGATGTGGATCACACACTTGTGCGTCATCGCATAACAGGTTTTGTTCAGGGCTTATGACAGTGCTGTGTCTACAAGCTACTGAACGTTGACAAAATAAGCAGCAGGTCATCCAGTGTTTAAATATGGCTGTTCTCATATGCTACAAAGCGTCTCGGTTATCAGAGGTTGTTATATTTTGTTCAAAGAGTACGAGCCTCTATGGACTCATCTTCACTTGACCAGTTAACTACATTATTCAATGAAGATATGAATATCCCATAGTCAAACTTATTGATATTTATGTTAAATATATTTAACTATCGCGAATTCTGATGAGTACCGCATAAAACTGATGATGACTCACTGGAGTATGGCATTTTGCTGTTATACGAAATCCCACTGATGCTGATTTCAACTGTGTACAGGAGTATTACGATGTTAGAGAATGGATGAATCTTCATCTCTTTGTTCTTTACTTCCAGCAGCCACCTTTTTTCCATCTTCATTTATGTTTTTCTCTATACACTTGATTACCGCTGTTCCAAAAGTCTGATACTGTATGTTCTTGTTATGTTGTTTTCATTTCTGATGACATAGTTGTGTTAGAATTTGTTAGCACCTCTCATTCATGACATAACTCTAGGCAGGATAATATTATTATCTACTCAACTGATATTTTGTCGTATTTCTTTGCATCCAGAGTGAAAAATGGGGCTTCTAGCTTTGGTTTCTGAAGTTTCATTAGCAGTGGTGCTTTTTTTATAGAGTAGCGTTGCTAGTCTCATACTCAACGTTCTTCTCTTTCCCGGTCTTACTACCGGCTAAAAGAGATTTCTGAAGACGTCGATAGTCGGGATTTGAAATCCAAACCACATGCATGGAATTGCTAGCCTCTTTATCTGATGTTAGCCATGTAATATCGCTATTATGATTCATCCCTTACTGACTACCGAATTTCCTTCTTTTTTTGTTTCTCACCCTTTCAGAATATGAAGAACTATACGGAGTCTCATATTATGGATCGTCTAAACATGAAAAATCATCACATTCACCATATAGACGTTCAAAATTTGAAATATTCTGTGAAGATGCCTATCTCGATTTCACTCACAATAAAAAGAATCATCATCATACTAATGAAAATAATAATGACGTCAATGGGACATATAAACACTTGAGTAATACTAACACAGAACCACACTATACATGGAGTCTTACCTTTTCCCAGCCAGCATCACATTATTATGAATTTAGACAAAAATTAGAAAGAAGTTCAATTTCATTGGAGAGTATCAGTGTAATCCAGTCGACAGATCAACCAAAGACAAGTTTTATTAAACTCTCAGGTACTATAAAAGTGAAAAATATTGCCTTTGAAAAATCTGTTTTCTTAAGATTAACTAAAAATAATTGGAAAACATTTACTGACTATCAAGCAGTGTATAGTGCTCAACTATCCTCAGGTACTTGGTCAGGACAACGACGATATGATACCTTCGTGTTTAATATTATTATTCAATCAGATCATGAATATTTTCATCCAGATGAGAAAATTGAATTCGCTATTTGTTTTACTACTGTAAATAATAATAATAATAATGAAGAGAAAACAGAATATTGGGATAATTATGACGGGAAAAATTATGTAATTGAACAGAGAAAATTTCATCCCTTATGGATTGGTACCGGATCCTTAACACATCATTCGACTGAAATATCCTCGCCATCATCTGATGCGTCTATATCACCAGTCAGTGAAACTCCACCGAATAATAATAAGTCAATCAGTACTGCATTGGACAGACAACATAGTAGTATTACGTCAGCTATTACTAAAACTACTCCTACTCCTACTCTTTCTCCTAGTACTTCCACTACTCATACTACTACTACAGGCTTTAATACTTCTTCATATACACTTGACTGTCGCCCAAATTTTGATAGTTTCACCTCATTCACTGATTATCGTGCATGGAGTCATTATTCTGGAGAAACAAGTTATTATTGATATATATTTTTCTTTTCTCATTGTTTTTTCTATCAAAATAATACATTCACTGTGTACATATATACAACAACTGATGTACTTGATAAATTATCAGGAAGATTTATTTGGGCGTAAGAATACCGCGCAATTTGTTGTACGTTTTGTCAAACTATATGTCATCCATCATCCTTAGACATAATGATAATAATAATTCAAATGGCCTTATAGTTATATTTTGAAGAGAAATACTACTAATCACAATATAAGTAATAAGGTGTAGAGGTTAAATTAACCATTAAGAATGTTGATATATATATACATATACATATACTTGGTTGTCAAGATGGGTTACTAATGGATATTTGTACATAGTTTATCTGCCATCCAACCTTGTTTCATTTTGAGAACCAAACATACTCTTTTTAAGTTCTTAATAGTTGTTGAGTCAACTTCGTATACTTATTACTTATATACTGTGATTAGTAATATATATACTTTCTGAAGAATGATTGATTATAAAGCATGCTATTCTTATCACTTTGACAGTTTGTGGAAGGGATATTTTCCTGTGTTTCCTGGTTGTCTATCTTTCTTTCATAACAGTATTACAGATATGTACTTTCTAATCGACTTGCCATCGACTAACTGTATTGCTCATCAATTCTAGTGTGAAAATATTGTCATCGGTAATAAATAATTCCTGTACAACAATAAACATCATAATGATAATAATAACAATGAACAGCACAAATAGAATATCTTATTTTTCAAATTTCTTAGTATATTTGATGATGAAATAATGGCCTTTTATTGTTTTGTTTTTTTTCGTCATTTTTTTGAGTTTTGTAATTTATTTCACAACTTCAATCGCCGTCAATGAATTTTAATTATATCTAATTAATGAACTAATGAATTTTAATAAATTTTTAACAATTTTGGTTTCCCCTGTCCATTTGTTTTTAGTTTTCCTACTTCTCTCTTATTTATTTTATTTATTTATTTATATGCTCACTAGATTTATATTTTCAATTAATTTTGAACTCATCTGAAGTCATCCTGTTATTGTGTTTTTTTTGCATTTCGTTGACTGTTTTTTGTCACTTCTTCGACTTCTTCTTCGACATCTTCTACTTCCTGCTCTCTTTGTCTTCATCTTCTTCATAATTGAAACGCACAAATCTTTTTTTCTCTTTGTTTTTGTTATAGTAAGAAAAAGAAAAAGAAATTTTTAGTTACTCATGGAAATTGTTCGTCTTCTGAATTTTGCTGGTCAATACAACCTGACGGTTTACGAGTCTGGTGAGCTAATGAACATTTCTGTCCCAGTAGATTTAGCAGCCAACTGTCCGTTGTATCACTCATGAAAACAACGACTGTTACGATGCGATAACAACAACATGTGAGCTTTCCGCCGTCACGAATCAACAGCGAAAAAGCTTGACAACAATTCCACATTAAGTGATCTTGACAGGTAAACTAACTCCGTAGATAAGTTATAACAATTAACAGACCTTAGGTTTCAGCCGTTATAATGCGTAGAATACAAACCTCTAGGTAGAAGTTTAAAGCTTTCGAAAAATCAAGCATTTAAAACACTTCTCCAATTGTTTCTTCCCATATATATATAGACTTTAGGCGTCTATGGGGTGTGTAGACAGACAGTAGCACTATGATGTATCTCCATGGAAAGTTGTCAGTGTGGTAAAGTGCAACTGTATGTGCGTTGTAGGCATATCTAGAAAAGGAATTTAATTGGTTTATGGTGACTAGTATTTCGTCCTACTTGGGACTCGTCATCTGGTGGATGTACCTGCATTCCTCAGTGAGTGGTGATGTTCCCACTGAGGCTTGAACGCAGTGACCATAGTTTCAAAAGCCATAGCGTTATCCACTAGACCACTTGGGCCACAAGAGCCACCTCATGTGCAACGGGTCATATTAATTATTGAATTGAATTTTAGATTTTACCGTCGACTGATTGGACCGAAGTGCTTGGTCTCAGGTTGGCATGTCGCCTTATTGTGCAGATGCTTCGACGATGTCTGGGCATGTAATTAGAATTTAATTGGTGGATGGTTAAATTTTATTCTTAGTTCAATATTAAGGTGACAAAACTAAGACATAAATGTTCCGAGTGCAACATAGTGAGGTCCTCAGTAGTACATCGCCATTTCACCCTATTCTCCGTAGCCCTTTTTGTCTGGCTCCACGATAACCCATAAGCCTTAATTTTCTCCGCTCACAGTCTCATCCACGTCACTGTTATGATTTCACTGAGTGTAAATACGAATTTTGAATAGTAGCAATAAACATCTGAGGACCTCCAAGTTGATTACTGTCTGACCCGAACTAGCATATTCCAGAAGACTTGTACAGAAGGGTTAGGAAATGCCCATTTCTAAAACAAACGGGAAAGAAAGTGAACAAGCGTACAAAAACATATGGCATGTATTAAATAGTAAGCGTTAACAGCAAACTGGATTCTGACTGTCTGATGCCCATTATGTGACCTAGGATATTGCTTTTATCTGACTAACAGACTAATAAGAGAATTGTGAGCACATATCAAACACCCTAAAAATAAACGCATAACTCTTTTCGTCTCTCATTCAGGTTCTCCTTGAGCAGTTAACTGGGCCCTGATTTCGCCCAGTGGTCTCTTCAAAGCATTAAGTGTCATATTAGCTAAGATATAATTTCATTTTAAATCTCTACTCGAAAAGGTTGATAGTGATGAATACAAGTGCATTCAAGTTAAGTCAGTTAATACAGCAGAATGTTAAAAAATGTGCTTCTGCCACACGAACTGTATTCTGCCTGGATGTTAAAGACCACATGGTCGGCCAAAAATGATAAGGAATAAAAAAAACTCTGGCAACCACCCAACCAACTAAGAACCTATCGCCTGAAATACTTGCAGAAGGAAACACAGATAGATCAGCTAAAAAACTGAGAAGAACACTGACAAACACTCTACAATAAGCTCTCATGTGGGAAAAAATCAGTTTGGTGTGGCTGAAAGGTTGAGTAGGAAACGAAAACTTAACGGGAATCATGGGGCTAGCTTAAAAAGAGTTTGCAGATAACATAGTGACATTGAGATAGGTTGCTGAAGCCTTATCTTTAAGGGGGAACCCAAATGAGCAATAATAATAATGTTTTAATTATACCCCCGACTAGTAGTATTCACCCGGAGTTGAATATTCTTCCTGAATAATTCGGAATCGTACTTTTTAAGGAAAAACCTACTGTACAGTTTATCTAACTAATGGTCATGCATAATGTTCAAATAATAATAATAACAATCTCTATAAAACTGATTTTTATAAATAAACAACTGCTGATATATGACCTTATATACATGTACTGAAGTTCACATAAATACTCAAATAAGTATTCAAACATATAAATATTCATCAATGTATTTTAAAAAAAACAATCAAACTGTACACTGTACAAGGAATATATACAAATGTTGAAATAAACGCATATAATGAATGAAATGGAGGCATGTGGTTCGGGGTTCGATCCCCGGCCACAGACGTACTCCTTTACCTCTCCAAGAGGCTAATAAGACTGATAAAGAGGGCTGGAAGGTATGGCATGAGGCTAGTAACCCCATCCCGTAAACGTAAACACCACTGCTACCAAAACTTGAAAGCTCTAGCTTGAAGCGGCCGATGTTCCACTGGGAAAGTAATGGAATAAAATATAACTAAATGAAATATCACTCAGATTCTGCTTGGATTTTCATTTAGTTGAAAGTGAACCACATCAAGTGTGTGGGACTCGAATCCGTCACCCAACTGTTGGAATATCGAATGCCTAGACCCATAAGCTAGAACCTAACACAAGACATTATTCTGGTCTTCATGTTTCATTCTATTCACAAACTATTCACACACATGGGCATTTTGAACAAACGGATTAGACTTAAGGGGATTATATGATGCTTATTATTAGCCATGAAAAAAATGGTACCTTAAGTATGGTCAAATCTCCATCTCAAGTTCTTTGAACAGGTCTGTAGTAGTCTTGACTTGGAAGTAATTCGGGAGCGGTTTCAGCACTAAGGCGAGCAACGCAACGAACCTTCATCAACGTCATTCAGCAGCGATATGACAAGGTCAAACGCCAACTGATGCACAACGAAAAACTAAGCGAAGCCTCTGAGGGGAAGACGGCAGCAAGACAAAAGTACCCTCTATCACCGATGATACTCGTAGTTGTAATGGACTGGATTATGTGAAAGAATGTGCACACGAAGCGATAAAACAGGAATATGTTGGACCACCGACAAGAAGACTATAGGAGATCTGAATTTCGCGGATCATTCATGTCTAGTGTAACGTTAACTCGAAGACTTACAAGCGAAAACCAACAAGTTGGTCAAAGAGGCAGGCAACAAAGACAGGACTTCAAGTAAACATAAAGAGGAGGGTTGTGATGAATACAACCAACCATCAAACAACAACCAGCACGAATCACCATCAGTGGGAGAGATTTGGAAGAGGTCACTTCTCTCACTTATGTAGGCAGCATTTATTCAACTACAAGTGGAACCGATGAGGATGTTCAAACCAGAATCATCAATCTGAAATCAGTTCGGAATTCTTCTGCACTCAGTATAAGCGACTAAATTCGGATTTTCGACTGCAATATTAAGTCAGTTCTTATATATGGGTGAGAAACTTGGTGCGTTAGATTACGTATTTTGAACAGGGTGCAGACTTGCATCAACAGCTTTCATCGCTCCATACTGAATATCAGATGGTCGGCCAGATAGAACTAGCCAAAAATAATTCTGGAAACAAACTGACGAAGAACCCATTTATCAACAAATATGACGAAGGAAATGGATCTGACGCACGCTGAGGAGACCGTCAGGTGATATCGCGCGCCTTGTTGTCCCTCGACTGGAATTCGAACAAGAGAGGACGATTTGGGCGTCTAAGGGTGACATGAACATCGTGTGAGGGTGAAATAAAAGCCCATGGATAATCATGAGACCAGCTGAAGAAGACTGCAGAGGATTGGATAAACTGGAGATGTACTGCTGAAGGCCCCTTTGGTTCCGAGTGGAATGTAGGGCTTCAGCAATACATCTCCACGTTGTTTTATTTTCTTCTATCCTCTTCATCTAGGCCAACGGTTAACCACAATCTCTCATCTCCTCCACTATACACGATCTCCTCCATGTCACCTTGGGAAGACCCACTCGTCGCCTCCTATTTGAATTCCACTCGGATGATGGCCTGTATTGCGCGCGATGTCATTCGATGGCCTCCTCAACGCATGAAGTCCTGTTTATCTCTGGCTGCCTCTTCAGCCAGTTTGTTGGTTTTCGCCTGTAAGTCTTCCATTTTGTGTAACATTATACATATATCATCTGCGAAATCCAGATCTTCTAGAGTCTTATTATCGGTCCAACATATTCCTGTCTTCTCACTCCCAAAGTACCGTCAGACGCCCATCTTTGCATTGAGTCACCTGCTCTTGCACCAGTCTCCTCTCTTCTATTAGCTTCCACGTAGGTGTTAGTTGAGAGCCATTCCTTGTCTTGTCTCTTCTCTCTTCCTAGAACAGTTGTACACGTTTCCTCGAACATCACATTCAGAGAGTTCCAATGTTCTTCTACGCAGGTTTTCTCAGTGATGCCACGTAACTCATCCAACTCTGCTCTAATCTCATCTGTAGTGAAGGCGTTCCTTGTAGGTTTGTCCTCCAGTTTCTGAATATTCAACTTGAATTGTGGTCTGTCACTATTTGTTTTCATGGATTTCAGCTTCACCTTGAAGGTTCCTTGAACTAGATGATGGTCTCAGCCCACATATGTTCCTCTGCTCGACTTTGTGTACAGCAGACTGGCTGCTTCTCCACTCCCTTGAGCAGCATTGAGATGAAATCTATCTTGTTTGTGGTATGTCCGTCAGGCGAATTCCATGTTGCCTTGTGTATATCCCTGTGCTTGTACACGTCGGCTCCAATCACCAAATCATTGAAAGCGCAGAAGTCTGTGAAACATTCTCCGTTCCCATTCATTTCTCCGAGCGAGAGCCTCTTGACCTATGATGACTACTCTTCCTGTATTATCTGCTCCCAGTTTGGTTGGTACTCATATCGCCCATAAGGATTTTGATGTCATCATTTGGGTTGTTGTTCATTACTGTTTGTAGTCGTCTGTAAAAATCTTCTTTCTTCCCCTCTCGTTCCGCGTTGTTTGTAGTACTGTTCGTAGCACTG